TTGTACCAAGCATGTTCATTGTGGATCCAAGCAAAATGAGGCTGTTGATAGTTTCAATCTCCTCTCCATCCATAACTCAGGAAACAGATTACTAAATATCTTAACCTTTTCTACTAAAAGAACCCTGAACACTTTCAAAGACCATCTTGCCCACAATTATTTCAACTGACAGAAAACATGTTTTTCCAATTTCTTTTTTCTCCCATGATAAAATAAGCTTAAAATCTACTGGGGGAAATTAAGAGCTGTTTCTCCCCATCGAAGGCGGTAATTAAGAGGCAGATGCTGCTCCAGATGTTTCACCGGAGTTAAGCCTCTGATGTGTTTTCACAAGGCAGCCGAGCAACAGACCTTCACGCTGAGAAGATGTTAGTGCTCACACACCTCAACATGCTTCTTCTGAGATGGAAATCGTCCACTCCACAAAAGACCCCTTCTACCCAGCTGAAAGGCTTCCCTAAGCTCTTCATGGTGAGCCGGGCACATGGGAAACGGAAAGAGGCTGGTTCCTGTCTCTGGGAACCCGGGTCAAAGCGAAGGGGAAGAAGCAGGAAAGACAGGGAAGCTGTGGCAGTGGCCTGCTCTTAGCGGTGCACCCTGGCCAGTTCCAGCAAAGGGCTGCAGAAGAAGAGAAAGGGTGCCTCGGCCACCAGGTCACCAAACAGGACATGACCAAGGGCGGGACATTAGAGTTGGGTCTTGAAGGGTGAATAGAAGTTTTTCAGACCAAAGAATCCAGGACAATTTAACAACTGGAAGCAAAGTGGGAGCTTCAGAGGCTGAAAGGGCCTGAGTTAGGGGTGGGGTGGGGGGAGACGCAGAAGAGGATGAAGAGCAAGCGGACGTAGGATACAGCTGAGGGTTTCAGCCCGGAGGCCAGAGGACAGAATCACTGGCTGGCCTGGAAGATAATGCTAATGGGGTAGACAGAGGATAAGGCCGAGAATCGGGGTCAACAGCAGAAACTCTCATCCTTGATCTCCCTTCTGTTACCCAAGGTGACAAGCCCCCAGTCACACCATTCTGCTCAGTATTCTGTATCAAGTCCATATCGCACCACCTTCCATACTTGAAGATCTCTGATGCCAGAGGAAGAGAAGAGGAAACAAAAAAAAACAAGGATGCCCAGCAGTGGGGTCTGCAGCAGTCACCTTCGGATGCCCGGGGATTTTCTTAGCCTCGATGACCAGGGAACCCAAGTGCCCATACCCTGGACTTGTTTCACGTGAGCCAGCTTCCTGTCACTCCTCCACTGACCCGCAGAGCCAGCAGCCCACACATCCTGCCTCTTTCAGCCTGGCAGCTCAGGGCACGAGGAGTTGGTGGTAAAGCGTCATCTCCCATTTAGGGTTCACTGGAGCATGGGGACCAATCCACATCCCTCAGTGATCCCCAAACTCTCTAAACCTACCCCCTGGATCTGTCATGTCTGATACCAAGAGCAGATACTCGTGCTTCCCTGAAAGAGAACTAAAATACATGCGTTTAACAAGGAATGGTAGGAGGTCTTGGGTAGTTTCAGCAGTTAAGTGCTCAACTCTTATCCATAAAGTTGGAAGTTCAAATCCACTCAGCAAATAGGCCAAGTGATGTTTCCAAAAGGTCAGTCTTGAAAATCCTATGGAAGAGATGAGTGACTGTGCAACGCAGTCCCAGAAGCACAGCTACAAGGTACGTCACGCCCATTCACATCACCAACCCCATCAATGACACTCAACCCTATCAACTCCATCAACATCATGCGCACCATCTACCTCATGCACCATATCCCCCCATCATCCGTGTGCTCCATAAACTCCACCAAGCGCATCCCATCATCCCCTCCACCCTTCCTACCCCATCTGCTGCGTCGACTCCCTCTACTCCATCAAGCCCGTCCAATCCATTCGCTCCATCCACATCAACAACCCCGTTCAGCTCACCAACTCCATCAACCTCATCTACCCCATTAACTCCATCAGCTGCATACACTCCATTAACTTCATCAACCTCAGTCACTCCATTAATTCCATGTTGTCATTAGGCCATCGAGTTGAGTATAACCCATAACCCATAGTGACTCTTATAAATAAAAAATCTGAACTCTGCCTGTCCAGTGCCATCCTCACACTTCCCGATACATTAAAGCCCATTGCGGCAGTCACCATGTCAATCTACCTGGTCGAGGGTCTTCCTCTCCTTTGCTAACCCTCCACATTTCTAAGCACCATGCCTCTCTCCAAGGAATAACCCCTTCTAGCAACATGTCTAAAACACGTGAGGTGAAGTCTCAGTCTCTCTGCCTCCAAAGACCACTCCGGCTGCACCCTCTCCAAGACAAATTTGTTTGTTCTTTTGGCTGTCTATGGGATGTTTGGTTGTCTATGTGGCTGACTCTGAGAAGAATGGGAATCCCAGAACACTTGATCGTACTAATGTGAAACCTATACTTGGACCAGGAGGCAGTCGTCAGAACAGAGCAAGGAAACACTGCATGGTTCAAAATTGGGAAGCGTGTATGCCACGGATGTGTCCTATCTCCATACCTTTTCAACCTGCATGCAGAACAGATTATCCAGGAGACTGGGTTCTATGAGGAGAAATGTGGGGTCAAGATTGGTGGACGATTTATCAACAATCTGCGTTATGCAGATGACACAACCCTGCTTGCTGAAACTGAGGAGGACCCGAAGCGCCTGCTATGGAAGGTCAAGGACTGTAGTCTTCAATATGGATTGAGGCTCAATATCAAGAAGACAAAGATTCTCACCACTGGACCAACTGGCAGCATCAGGATGGATGGTGAAGAGATTGAGATTGCACACAGCTTTAGTTTGCTTGGCTCCACCGTCAACACTCTTGGCACGAGTAGCCAGGAAATTAAAAAATGTATTGTGTTGGGAAAGTCTGCTGTTAGGGACCTCTCCAAAGTACTGAAGAGCAATGGTGTCTCTCTGGAGACTAAGGTGCACCTGATACAGGCCATGGTCTTTACTATCACTTTCTATGCATCAGAGAGTTGGACAATGACTAGGGATAATAGAAGGAGAGTTGATGCCTTTAAGCTGTGGTGTTGGAGAAGAGTGTTGAATATACCATGGACTGCTAAGAAAATGAACAGGTTCATCCTGGAGAGGATTAAACCAGGCTGCTTGGAGGCAAGGATTCTGAGGCTTTGTCTGACATATTTTGGACATGCTGCAAGGAGGGACCAGTCCTTGGAGAGGGACGTCATGCTTGGGAGGGTAGAGGAACAGTGCAGGAGAGAAAGACCCTTTATGAAGTGGATTTATTCAGTAACTGGGATAATGTGGGTAGGTATGCTGGAGACAGTGAGACTGGCACAGGATAGAGCAGGGTTTGGGGCTGTTGTACATAGGGTCTCTATGAGCCACAGGTGACTCAACGGCACATAACAACATGGGATATTCAGTAATCTTCTCCAACACCACAGCTCAAAGACATCAATCCTTTTACCATCATCCTTATTCACTGTCCAGCCCTCAGATGCATGGCAAGTGATTAAAAAGACCATGGCCTGAGTCCGATATACTTTAGTCTTCAAACTGACATCATTACTCCTCAATGATTTGGAGAGGTCCCTAACTGCACACTTTCCCAGTGTAATGTCTCCTGATTTTCTGCTTCTAGTACAAAGGGTGTTAACTGCGGATCCAAGTAAGATGAAGTTGTTGACAGTTTCAATCCATCATGAGGATGCCTACTGGCCCAGTGTTGAGAATCTTTGTTTCTTAACATGGAGATGCAATCCATATTGAAGGCTGTAGTCTTTGATCTTCCGCAACAGTGCTTCAAATCCACCATACTTTCAGCAAGCAAGGCTGTGTCATTTGGATAATTCAAGTTACTGATGAGTCTCCCTCCAATCCTGTGGCCACATTTCTCTTCATAGAGTTCAGCTTCTCAAATAATTTGCTCAGCATACAGACTGACTAGGTATGGAGAGAGACTACAACCCTGGTGCATTCCCTTCCTAATTTTATACCATGTAGTGTTGCCTTGCTCTAGTCACACAGCAGCCTCCTGGTCGAGGTACAGCCTTCACAAGAGCACAGTGCAGTGCTCTGGATTCCCCTCCTTCGGAACAGTAGACCGAATTCGTGATGATCCCCACAGATGCCTTTGCACAGTCACTAAAGCACAGACATTCCTTCTGTATTCTTTACTTGCAGCCAGGATCCGTCTGACCTCAGCAATGATATTCCTGGTGCCATGGCCTCTTCTAAATCCTGCTTGAACATCTGGAAGTCCTTGATCTATGTGCTGTTCTAGTCATTTCTGAATGATCTTCAGCAATATTTTGCTTGCATAGGATAGTAATGATACTGTTTGCATTTCTTGTTTGAAGCATCAACTCCACATATCCCCATCAACTCTCTCAACCTCATCCAGTCCATTCACCCATCTTCCCCATCCACACTGACAACTCCATCAATTCATTAATCCCATCACCCCATCTACTCTGTAAGCTCTGTAAGCTCCATCATTTCCATCTACTTCTTCTCCCCTATTCACCCCGTCCATCCATGAACCCTGTAACTCCATCAACTCCATCCCCACAAATCCTAACAGAACAAACGAAGACAGTAAACGCCTACTTGCTGAAGAGAGTAATGAGGAAACCTGGTGGAGGGTATCATATCTGTTTGCCGTGATCTCCATTTCTGGCCCCAACTGGCATCGTCTCATGTGGGACAGTCACCAGGTGCTGCAAATGGGCAGTGCTTGGACCTCAGCTGTGGAGGGTGGACACGCACTGAGAACCCTTGGTCTGTCACATATGTACATATTGAACAAGGATGCGAGCTTGTAATTCAGGGAACCTCCTGCCAAGTCCGGGTCAGGTGTGTTCCAGTTGGGCCCCACTGGGCCCCAGACTCTGCTCTCTGTAAGGTCAGCTTCCTTTTTGCCAAGAGAAATGCACGTTATCACTGCAGAAGTCCCCAGAGCGGACACCTGTCAGGTGCCATCAGGTGTGTGGGTAGAACTGCACCACTCACCTGGTTGTAGAGGGCACAGATGTGCAGTGCCGTGTTCCCCGAGGCGTTCTGGGCCCCCATGTCCGCCCCGTAGAACAGCAGGTGCTCCAGGTGCTGGACGTGGCCGTATCGGCAGGCCTACAAGACAGAGGTCATCTGTGAGTTGGTGGAGGTCATCTGTGAGTCAAGAGCCCTAGCCACTGTCTAGGACAAGGTCAGAACGTACATTAACCCACCCAAGACAGCCCACGTGAGGTCATGTCTATGAGATGCTAAATGTGTGAAACAGAAACCCCAAACACATCAGTACCTGGAACTGATGGAATTATGTACCCAAAGACATGCTGACATCCTAACCTCACACCTGTCACGACACTTTGTTGGGGAATCAGGATCTTTGAAGATTCCCACTTAAGTTAATGTGTGGTCACAGCTGAGGTCACACTCATAACCCCATACATGGAATCATACCCAGCACCCTACAGGGGTAACCTGAGGTCACACTCCTGATAGGAGCATGAGGTCAGGCTCGTGGTTCCAGAGGAGTGACCTGAGGTCCTTCTCATTCACAAAATAGGGGGCAGATGCATCTAAGGACCAGGGGACACTCAGATCCCCATGTCCACCAGGAAGGGGAGCGGCGGGGATGGCTCTACTCTCAAAGTCCCCCAAGACGGACATGCTGACCCACATCTGTACTCCCCACACTGTGAGGCAGCATGTCACCAATAACCCCGATGGAGTGGGGCGTGGTCACTGGGACACAATCTTCATTCTTCTTCTGACTGCTGGACCCCAGCTGGGAGTGGAGGGCATGTCCCTCAGGAAAGTCTGGGGGACCTGAGCTTGGCTATGGAAGGGGCTCTGGGACCCCAAGTCCTTTTCATTCAGATCAGAGACCCAAGATACCCAGACAGATTCGCACCACACACCCAGTGACTCGCTGTCCCACTCACGAACCAGCCTGTGAGAAGCCCACTTCCCGCCCCAGCCTCAACATGCAGGCTGAGAAGGGTGCAGGGAAATACAGGAGGGTCCCCTTATTGTCTGGGACAGCCTTGACTTTGCGGCTTTAAGGCTGAACCCACCACCTGCAGAGTGTGGGCACAGCTGGGAGGGTTCACAGCGGGAGAGCCCCTCTTGCCAGCCCTTCTGTAGAGTCAGCCTGTGGGGTGACAGTCCAAGGTCTCAGGGGACAGCCAGCTCCAGCTCTATGTCAGGGACGATGCTGCAGTAGAACTGTTACCACACACCTCGTGTGGCCAAGAGGAACCACACCCTCTCAGGGCTCCTGGGAGCGTCACACGGGTGATGTCTCAAAGGGCGTCCACCATGTCCCAGCTCACAGAGTGAGGGCGCATCCTGCAGAACTCGGGCACCTCACCAGCTCCAGGCTCTGCCTCACCCACATCATGACGTTCTATCATGTGCGCTGCCCCAGAAGACCCCAGCCAGCCAGCCATCAGCCTCTGGGTAAGTCAGCAAGTGGCCAGGACTCATGGGCACTCCAGACACCCTGCCCCACCACAGGCTCCTCTGGAAGGGTCCCCATGGTAAAGGAAACCATGCTGGGCAGGGTCGTGTGGACGCAGCTGGACAGCCTCAGGGCTGGGGGGCTCCTGGCCGTGGAGACGTGTGCTGTTCCCCTCTGCACAGCCCGAGAGAAAGAGCCACACCTCGATAATTAATAATGAGGAGAGAAGACAAGGAGGATATTTAAATTAGTAATTGCCCGAGCTGGAGAAAAAACTGAGAAACGCGTTTACAGCTGCTGTGTGCCCTGAGGAGTGAGCTCGTTAGCGAGTAGCACAGATGCCAGCTGTGGATACCACTGGTAGTGTAGTGTATAAAGCATGCAGCTGTGAACCAAAACATCAACAGTTCAAACCCACAAGCTGCTCCTTGGCAGAAAAATGGGCAGTCTCCTCCCATGAACTTGTCAAACACCTCAGTGAGGGTCACTAGGAGTGGGCACTGACTCTATGGTGGGCCCTGTATTGTGTGGGGAGGTCCACCGGACCCCAGTGGACACATGAAGGCCCAGGACTGGAAGGTGTGGGGATCACCTGGGGCTGCTGGGGCCAGCAACACGTACAGAGAGGGTGTGGGGGAGAGGTAAGGGCTAAGGTGAGTGAGAAACAGACACTCAGTGAGAGAGACACAGAGAAAATCAGATAAATTAAAACAGAAAGAAAGAGGCAACAGCAGGGAGATACACAGACAAAGATAGAGACACAGAGAGAAAAGCACAGAGATAGCAAAGGAGGGACCAGGACAGACACACAGACACAGAAGTGCATGCGAGCCACAGCCAGCGGGACTCCGAGCTCCTTGACACAGCTACAAAATAAAGTCCAACTCAAAACACTACATCTGAGCAGCATCTACTGGACGCTTCAGAACACGAAGACTAGACCCCACATGCATTCCTTCCCCAAGCAGCCTGGGCTGGGACCACTGTCCCTCCGAAGGGGAAGGCCGGTTCACTACCTCTCCACAGACGGGCCCCAGCACGCTGCTCTGTCACCGCTCAGTATAACTGTCCCTCCAGCAGTAAGAGAAGCTCAGGGGAGCTCTGGTGGCCTAGTGGCAAGGAGCTGCAACTACAATCCCAGAGGCGCACGGTTCGAATCCACCAGGTGCTCTGCCAGGAAAGTGGGGAAAATCTCCTCCTGTACCAGTCAGATCTGATTTGACAGTACACTCACACAAAAATAATAAAAAAATTAAAAAAAGAAGAGAAGCTCAAGGCCACAGATTCATGGAGAAATGCATGGAGACGTGTGCATCCTCTTCCTCGGTCAGTGGTCACCTGTGAGGCCCTAAGCCCCATCCTGAGAAGGTGCGCTCTCTCCACCCGTCAAACGACACCCAAACGGAGACTGAAGAGGAACCGTGACCCTTAGCAGATGTTCCGGGAAGAGCACATTCAAGGGCTGCGTCCCCATTCTTTCCTTCTTTCTCCACACCTAACTCCGGGGCGCAGGCGGTAGGAATAGCACTGCTCACCCACAGAGGTTTGTGGCCACCAGTGGCTCTGCAGGGGGATGGCCGCCCTCCTTCCGTGAGCCCCTGGAAGCCCCCTGGAGGGTCAGCCATGAGCTGACTCAATGGTACGAGTTTGAGATTTTAATATTTAAATACAGGCTCCTGGTGGCACAATGATTACGTGCTGGACTGCTAACCACGAGGCCAGCGGTTTGACTCCACCAGTAGCTCCGAGGGACAAAGATGTCTGCTTCCGTGAGGACACACAGCCCTGGAAACCTCTGGGCAGGTCCCCTGTCCTTCAGGGTCGCTGTGAGTCAGCAATGACTGCAAAGCAGCGAGGGGCTTGGTTAATCAAGAGAACATGGGAAACTGCTGAAATAGGACAACTCGAACAATACCCATAACCCCAGCATCTTCATTCTGCCATGCAGGTGTGTTTGCAAGGGACACTTCTGGTATTCTCTTCTTCCCCTTCCATCTCTGATGGCCAAAATACAGAAGACGTACTTCTGAGAACGAGGACATCGTGAAGAAGCAGAAAGTCGCCTACGGGCAGGGGAACACGGCAGGAAGGACGGGACGCAAGCAAGGTGGCAGTCAGACCGGCTGCACGTAGTGGGACAGACAGGCTACGGGCAGGGGAACATGGCAGGAAGGATGGGATGCAAGCAACGTGGCAGTCAGACCGGCTGCACGTAGTGGGACAGAGAGGCTTGGCAGTGGGTTTCTCACCGTCAGAAAAGAAGGGCCCAAGTGTCACTGGTGGTGCTGTTAGGGCGTCATCACGCTGATTCTGACTCACAGACGGACCCACAACAACAGCTCGCATCCTGCCCAGTCCTGAGGCATCCTCTGTCTCCACCCTGAGCCCACCGAAGCTGTCACGGCGTCAGCCCACCTCACTGAAGGTCTTCCGCTTTTTGACAGAGCCCAGCTTCTCCAACGATTTGCTCAGCATACAGACTGAATAGGTACGGAGAAGACATGACCTTGACAGACACATTTTCTGATTTGAAACCACGTGCAATTCCCTGTTTTGTTCAGATGACTGCCTCTCAGTTGGTGTAGATTTTTCCCGAGTACAATTAAGTGTTCTGAGTAACATTCTTCTCAATATTACCCGTAATTTGTTATGAGCCACAGAGTAGAATGCCTTCGCATAATCAATAACACAAACAGGGATCGAATATTCTGATTCCAGCCAAGAACCATCTGATGTCCACAACGATGTCCCTCACTCCCCAGCCTCTGCTGAACCCAGCTTAAATGTCTATCAATTCTCTGCTGATGTACTGTTTCAGTCATTTTTAAAAATAGTCAAAGATTTTATTTGCGTATGATTGTAATTACATTTTCTGATCATTCTCACATTCTGTTGGATCACCTTTGTTTGAAACGAGCACAAAAACCAAAATACAGGATCTTTTCAAGCTGATAGACTAAGTAGCTTGTCTTTCAAATTTTATGGCACAGACAAGTGAGCATGTCAGAGGCGGCATCTGTTTGCTGAAACACCTCCACGGGTACCCTGTCAATTTGCAGTCTTTCATTTTTTGCCAATGCCTTGAGAGCAGTTTGGATGTCTTCCTTCAGCGAAATTGGTTCTTGATCATATGCCACCTCCTGAAATGTGAGTTCCCCTCGAGTCCTTTCAGTGCCGTGGACTTGTGTATTCCTTCTGATGCATGTGAACACTAATGGCCAAAGACTGGACAAGCTATGGGATGGCATAAAAAACTTATACACAAAGAAGGCAACAAAGTATCCTTAAGACATCAGGAGAAAAAGAAAATACTAAAATTGATGTTCAAAGAGATTCTGAACCTTGCTCTACAGTGTTGAGATGTTAAAGAGCGAAATGATGAGATGAGGGAACTGAACTGAATATTTCAAAGAGAAGTGCGAGAAGACAAAGCAAAGCATTATAATGAAATGTGCAAAGACTCAGAGTTAGAAAATCAAAAGGGAAGACCATATCCAGCTCATGATGAAAGAACTGAAGAACAAACCCAAGCTTTGAGTTTATGGGCAAAATATTCTATGATGCAAGAAGTCGCTCAGCTGGGATAATAGAAACACATTGTATCATCTCGCAAATATCTGAGTGCACACGGCTGTAAGTGAAAACACGGATGAGTAAGGCGTTT